AGAAAAGTTAAAAGGTTAAAAAGTCAGGTAAAACCAACTTCCTTTGTGTACATGTGCGCGTGTGTGTGTGCATTGATGATCTCTCGTCCTTTCTCCACTGACCTTCCCAGTGACAGAGCTGTCTTAAAACTGATTGGTGAAACTCTAATAAATCAAATTGAGCTTGGCCTTGAGGACCTGTGTGTGTTTATGGCTGTGTGTGCATGTGTGTGTATGTGTGTTTGTTTGTTTTAGAGGTCCACAATTAGTGGACAACAGAATAGTGTTGATCCAGCACATCCAGTGTGTTTATGTGTATGGGTGTGTGTGGGGGGTGGTAAATGCATTAAGAAAAATGAATGACGACTTTGGTAAATGTAAACAGGTTTTGACCTGTTTTGAATTGCGCATACATAACAAGGTTAAGGTCCTAACAATATAAAGCACCTAGAGGCAACTGTTGTTGTGAATTGACGCAATATAAATAAAGCCAAATTGCACTGAACTGAATTGAAGTGAAGGTTGGGATTTTATTTATTTATTTTGTTTGCCATTAATATAGCATTACTGCACTCTATTGCAGGAACTTATCAACATCCCACAGATGTAAATTACTACAAAAAATTTTAGGCACTAGAAATATGTTTATAGTCTTATCCATCCCACAATACCATTAGCAAGGCATTTAACTGGTAATAAGTTCATACTACAGCATGAAAGCATACAAACAACATAATTATAGTCATACAGTATATTTTCAGCAAAAGGAAGATGAAAAAAATAATTGATTGACAGTGTATGTAGATAGTGAAATAGCCTAGAATTCCTGAAATAGCTTTCTGGTACATAACAAGTGTTCCTGTGCTGGTACACATCTTATTAGCATAAAAGGTTATACAAAATGTACACAATGCACTATGAAGAGGCTCTCACTGTACTTGGATGAGGGTCATAGGATCAACATTATCAAGCATTAAACAACAAAATGCAAACACATTATATGTCTCTGCTTATCCTCAAGTTCATTAAGCAAATTAACATCCTCTGTTTGAGTTTTTTGGATCAATGACACATGCATCCAATGAATCTGAGAACTGACTCTAATTTTAATATCAATAATAGCTTTTAAGCTAAAATGAGCTTCAAGGCATAGTTGTTATTTTTTTTTTTAAACAGTTTGGATCACAACCTTAATTATTGCAGTGATTCTGAAAACAAAGTTCTTTTAAGATCACGTCTGAAGATAACATGTCAGGGATGCATCTTTGCCACTCAGCCGTAAAAGTCAGTTTGAATCTTAGTTATTTCGACCTCAAGGTCAAAGCAAGTTTTCTGAAAATCTTGTGACCAGAGCAATCAACCTCAAAACTCAGCACATCTGTGTTGAGCTAAGTTGTATAACATTTTTAATGGCAGAGGCGCAGTATTACGAACTGTAATAAAAACAAGAGAAGTATTTGAATACAGATTTAGATTCTCAAAAATGAATATTTTACATTTTCTAAGGATGTCACAGTGTTGCCACTGTTGCCAGTTTGTGTTCCTCTGCATACAAAAGTCTTCAAAAGAGCGTCATACTTGCTATCAAAAAGACAAATAAACCTTAGACCAAAACAATACAATTGTTTCAATGATGTGTCAATGATGTCAATGACACACATACACATACTGCTTATCTATTTAAAAAAAAGTAATGTGTTAATTTAAATTTTTATTTGTCATTAATATTTGGAATTTTTACTCTTTTCATCTTGTAGAAATAAGACATTAACCACATTTGACACACTGTTTATTTCCCTGAAAACTCATGTCATGGCTTGACCTAGTGCCCAAAACCTCAAGAAAAAACAAGCATCCATGGTAGGTGCTCTAAAGCAAACGATACAGACACTGCGAGATTAAGCTGACCTTGTGCCAAGTCCAGTGCAGATCAATGAAGTCAAATCACCCCACAGTAATATGAAATGGACTTACTCCCTGCTCTGTGTGTGCAGGATTAACATGCAGATAAGCTCCCCAGGTTCAACGATGCGCATTCATTAAAATGTCCACCTTCTGAGTCTTGCAAGAGAAAAGCCCAGCTTTACACTAAAATTAGCTTTATTTCCTGAGTGTTTAATTATACCAAAGTTGGACATGTGCACGCACATAACTGTAAAAAAAAATAAAAAAATAAAAAAATCACACAGTTTCTCTCAGTGATCCCATGTGTGCAGGATTAGCAATTAAAGCTAACACCATACGGTAATTGGCTGTGATTATAATGATGGAACAAATGCGATCTCCAGGCACTGTTGGAAATATCATAATTAGGATTTTAGCA